ACCGTCCCATTCTGCCTTCCTCAGGTGTTTGTGGAGTTCAGTGAAGTGTGCAATCTGACCGTCCCTTTCTGCCTTCCTCAGGTGTTTGTGGAGTTTGAGGGCGCATCATGGGGGAGGCGGTCCTGGGTGCGGGTATACGCGGAGCAGGTCCAGGCGCTGCTGGTGGAGAGCTCCATTGTCTGGGCGCCCCGCAAAGAGCCTGCCCAGCCGGGAGGGGGCACTGTGCCCAGCGCTGTCTGGCCTGCCCTGGTGAGTCCGGAGAAGCTGAACACGGTTGCATGTGCCCCTGACGAAGCCTCTCGCACGCGTTGTGTGTCCACTCTGTATTGCCTGGTGTTCGTCATGAAGAATAAAGCATCTGAAGGCTGTCTGGTGATGACGGGGGGAATCTTTCTGAACGTCTCTTCCTCAAATGAGGCCTTACAGAAGTTGGGGTACGCACACAATCTGGGGTCTGGAAACTGAACCCACAAGATAACTTGGGTTTGGGAAAGCAGGTTGTCTGTAGTTCCAATTAGCTCGTGTTCCAACTTCCTGTTCGCAGGCTGCTTATCCCAGGCTCTTCTTGGATAAGCTGGGGCTTGCAGCCCCCATACTCCTGCGTGATGATTAAGTCGATAATTAATCTCATTAAGGCCGATGAACACAGATTGATCCCTGCGGGACTGTGGACTCCAGGACCTCTGGCCTTGCAGTTCAGATTTTCTCTGATCACAATTTTGGGAGCTAAAGTTATAGAAATGAAAGTTTAATATGTAATTCATTGGAAAATCAGCTGAGATTCTGCCGACCCATGAGGAAAGAGTGTGTAGATATGAAGGGCGATGGGGCCAGGGGCAGGTTAAGGGACTAACTAGCCTTTTCCAGAACTTCTGTTGACAGTGAGGCCATCTCACTTTATCAGCAAGAAGACTTTGTGCCGTTTTCCCTCTGAAATTGCGGCTTTGTTCGTTTCCAGGCATTCCGCCCCCTGGTGGACAGGATCGGCCTGGGCTCCCTGGTTCCGGTGGAGTTCTTTGTGGACCGGGCCCTCAGCTTCCTCCCCGATGGGACGTCCCTGCAGAAATTTGAGGTGGGCCGGCAGTGGACACACACGCATGTGGGGAACAGCGCGTATCGGTCAGCAGCCTTTGTTCGAAAGGAGCGACTCCACCGCTGTGCACGGCTGTCGTCCAGATGGGCGCTTGGGTACTCTGCTGAACCCCTAATTGGCTTAATGACAGGGTTAACGAGAACTGCATAATTGCTCAGTTTACAGGAGGCAGGGAGAGGTCAGCAGTGTGTGTGTGGCCCCTGGGCGTGTCCGTGCAGCCATGTGACTGTGTGTGTGCTGTCTGCAGGTGGAAGACGACCTCTGTCATACACTGCTGCAGGAGCACTCTGCGCTGCAGGCCGCAGTGACCAGCTGGCTCGGTGACCTCAAGCTGCAGGAGATCCTGAGGAGAGGTGAGTGACCGGACACCCCTGCCCCTGGGACAGCGACGTGCCGCTCTGGTTGACCATGGGTTTGAGCCAGAATCTTTCAGGAGGTGGCTCCATGACGTTCTGGAATCGACGGGGGCTCTTGGTATCAATAGATCAGATACAGTGATATTTAGCTGATGTAGAACTGAGCTCAGTGCCGTGTGATCGCTGTCGATAGATCAGGGCCAGTGATGATGAGCTGGTGTAGGGCTGAGCTCAGTCAGTGCTGTGTGATCGC